ATGGGTTTCAGCCCCTTTGTGTCTCTGAGAACCCCCCCCAGCCCCTGTGGGTTTGAGCTCCAGGGTTGGCATCACATTTGGGGACCTACAGTGCTCCGTGGGGACATCCCCTGGGGGCTGTGCCTCACCCTTGTGGCATTTGGGGACTGCGGTGCCGCTGTGGGCAAGGTGTTTCCCAGCCCAGGAAATCATGGCGAGGGTGAGTGTGGCGGGGGGGGAAGGTTGGGGAAGGCATTGGGAGCGGTCCCCTGAGTTGAGCTGAGGTCTCCCCACCAGCCGTGCGGGTAAGGGGTGGCACAGGAGCCACGCAGTGAGGACAGGGTTAAGGACAGGTTCATCCCCAGCGTGGGACGAGGTGACCTTGCTTTGGGAGAGACCGGCTGTGGCCGAAAGCACATGCTGGCAAGCGGCTTTTCTTGCCACCCCCCGCCCTGCCTGCAGTTCATATCCAGACCTCCCGGGCTCTCATGGTGATTTCTCTTCTCCTGGGATTCTTCGGCATCATTGTGAGCGTGGTGGGCATGAAATGCACCAAAGTTGGCGAAGAGGATCCCGTTACCAAGAGCCGCATCGCTGTTGCTGGAGGTGTCCTCTTCATCCTCTCCGGTAAGGCAGCTCCAGCCTTTGCACCTCTCTGAGGCAGAAGACCTCAAACACCTTTTAAAAGCCGTTTGATGGAGGAAGGGGAGAGGTTTGGTGATGGGCTGGGTGTTGCTGATGTTCAACGTTTGATGTCTGGTTGAAGTTGTCCCTGCTCATCGCAGGGAGGCTGGACTAGACGACCTTTAAAGGTCCCTTCCAACCCAAACCGTTCTATAATTCTATGATTCTATGTCCAGGTCTGTGCACATTGGCCGCCGTGTCCTTGTACGCAGCACAGGTGACCTATGAGTTCTTCAGAGAGAGCACCGTCCCCATCAATGCCAGGTAAGAGCCCGGCTCAAGGGATGCTCTTTATCTGAATCCCAGCTTGTCCCTGCGCTTCCCGTAGGACCTTCCCTTGCCAGTTTTGGCAACGTATGGAGTCATAGGCAGATGTGCCACACGGGGTGGGACCTACGTCACCCCACAGCTGCCATATTGCGGAAGGTCTCTCTGAAGCTAAAGCTTTAGTCGGTACCACTGCCAACTTTGCGCTGGGACAGAGTAAGAGCGCTCACATGGAGTTTCAGCCCAAGGGAGGATTAAAGCACGGGGAAACCTCGTAGCTGGATCCAGCCAACATGAAAGATGGGGATGGCCAGGGAGAAGAAGACCCAACATCTGCCTCGACATCGCCCGTAGCCTTGTCAGGGTTTCAAGCATCCTTGTGTCCATGGGGTCCTCGTCTCAATTTGCACCTCTGCCTTTTCTGCCCCCCCCTCCCTGATGCTTCCCTCTCTCTCTTGCCGCAGGTACGAATTCGGCTCGGCTCTCTTCATCGGCTG